TGAAGAAGTTCAAGTGTTCATGGTTTAATACACTCCGGGATGATGAGAACAATGCTTTAGGAAGTTTTTGTGAGTGAGAGAACACTTTGGAAGTTTTAAAGGGAGAAAAAAAATTCTGTCCAAGTTAAACTGGTTCAACAATTAAGGGAACGAGTTCAAACATCTGAGGGAACAGGTTCGAGAATTAAGGGAACAGGTTCGAGAATTAAGGGAACAGGTTCAACATTTGAGGATTTATGAACATTCAAGACTGTCCATCTTGAACCGGTTCAAGACTCAAAAAGGTTTCTTCGAATTTTCTCAGGCGAGCTTGAACCTGTTCAACAAATCCTGAACCGTTTTAAGGTCTCCTGATCAATTTAGAAATTTAAGTTTCCTTATCCGTTTTGATTCCTTTTTGGTCCAGACTTCCTTTCATAAACCTATGCACGAATTCTACTTGTTTTACAAGTATGCTTAGGTCTTCCAAACTTCTATATAATGCCTCTTTCATTCATTATTGAGGTATGGCTTCAGAAACATAAATTTATTATTTTGAGAAAGCCTTTATAGAGATAATTTTCAGAAAATTAAATCTAATTATTCTGATTTTATTTTTCAGAGCACACGCATATATTCATGACTGATTTAGTACTGTTGTTCTCTATCTTATCGGAATTGGAGCTATATTGAAGATTCAGAGATTTCGAAAGAGTAGGATTAATTCTTTTACATCGAAATTCAGATCTTGAAGAAAATGGATAAAAGCGATCATACTTTGAAAGGGTCAAATCATTCGAGAAGTGCTATTTGATCTACCAGCAATCCTTCTACAGAGATCAAGAGTAAGCCTAAAGTCAAGTGCTGTTGGATAGGACGTCGCAAAGCCAAAGGATTGTCAGCGAATGGTATTTGGTAGAACGATAGGGTGTGAGCCTGAGTCAAAGTCTATTGTATTTTGTTTTAAATATAGTGGATCGGTTTACTTTGGACTACACAGTACAATTGGTCTATTTTACCAATTGGGGTTTCCTTGCTAAAAATCCTGGTGCAATCTCTTTAATTCTATTTGTTTTACTTTACAGTATTTATCTTTGTGATTGTGGATGTTTAAATTGATCATATTGCTTAGGTAATTTAATCAATCACAAAAATTAGGTAGGTTGACCTATTAATCTCATCTAGGTCATTAAAGGAGTTAGGCACAATTAAATTAACTAATAGCTTCTACCTCCCATGTAATTACTTAACTTTCACATATATAAGTATGTATTGTCTTTTAATTATGAAAATTATGGTCTGAATGTCACACATATACTACTATATTTGCACTATGGTCCTAAATTTGAGGCCCTTCCGAATTGGAGGCCTTAGGCGATACCTTGCCCCACAGTCGTCCCTGCCTTCGGCTTGGCGTGCACTAATTCCTAACTCCCATCCCCTAATATTTTTAAGGGTAAAGTGCAAAATACCTCCCTAAACTATTGTGCTCCCCCGAACTATTGATTTATTACAATTAAGGACAAATCTATCACAAAAGATTTTTTACCCTTTCTCATTAAATTTGTCATTTCTTTTTAAATTATTTTAATATGTTTTTCTTTTCTAAATATTAATTATACCATTTACCTTAATTTATTATTAGTATCAATTTATCATAAAAATGAAAAGAAAAAAAAAATTTGTAACTACCGTTTTCTAAAATAATTAACTTATAATTAAAATTTTATAATTTATAATAAAATTTCTTATACTCAGTTTACACTTTTTTATAGAAAAAATACCTTTTTTTCATACAATATATTCATGAAAATTTATAAATTACTTAAATAAAAAATACATTCTTTTTATGCAATATATTAATTAAAATTTAAAAAATTACTTAAACTATTTTTTTAAAAATTACTTAAGATTTTTATTTAAAGTTTTAATTTTAAAAATTAAAGGTAAATTAATGCAAATTTAATGGAGAATTTTTCATCAAATTAATATGAAAATTTTTTCATAGTTTATTTCAATAACAAAAATGATTATAAATAATTCAATAAGAAATGACATTATGGTCATTTAATGAAAAATAGTCAAGGCATTGTACCATTTTACAACTAAATGTGATAGTGTAGGCGGTATTATGCATAAAGTATACTTCAAGGGGGTTATTAGCAAATTCGAACATAGTTTAGTGGAATTTTTTTGTACTTTACCCTATTTTTAAATTACAAAATATAATTTTAATATGAAACTACTGTGCTTTCTGAAATTGGTTTATACTATTTTGGTATAAATTACTCCTGCTATTTTCACAAAGGATACAATACCTCATATATTTTAAAGTGTAGATCGAAACTACATCAATAAAATTAATAAGTTTAAGAGTAATGCTACTATGAGGTCTCTCTCATGAGATTTCTCACGAGCTCTCCTTTCTTTTGGCATGATTATGTACAAATATTGAGGCACGGATTCAAGTACTTGAAAGAGGACTAAACAAAGATTATTTACTTAAAATTTTGTTAAAAAATTCATTAACAGTAAATCACACGAGTCGGCCAAATTTTTGCACTCTTTTTCTTCGCTAAATTACATTATTAACTTTGACCTACTCGATCTATTGTTAATGAATTTTTGAATGAAATTTTAACAACATAATCATTGTTTAGTCTTCTTTCAAGTAGTTGAGTTCGTGCCCCCAATACTATACATAATCATACAAGAAAAGAGAGAGCTCATGAGAAATCTCATGAGAGAGAGACCACATAGTAACATTACTCTAAGTTTAATTCAACTAACTACCATAAAGATTAGAGTGGTGCTACTATGACAACTTTCAAAATACTCACAAGCTCTTTTTTTCCAGCCACACAATCAAAGGATGTGAAAAAACACGACTCAGTAGTAAATGGGGTCTACGGACGTAAAAAGGTCTCTCTTTAGAACCCACCATTTATCTCTCCTCGTAATCCCCCAATTCTCCCTTGGCCTCCAAAACACCTTTGCCTCCTTAACTACTCAAAACTCATAACCTTCTCTCTACAATCTCAAGCTTTCCACTCTCAGAACAACCCTCAAAAGATCTAAGGTTTTCACAGTCTCATCTTCCTCTATAATCCTCAACAGGCAACAACCCACCAATGGATTTAAGTTCAAACCCAAATTATTCAACTCACACAAATGCAACCATATTCACCATAACTCCTAACAATTTTGAAATTACCAAACCAAGATCCAACCTCACTCTAAAGCATGGTTCGCAATCACGGTATCGATCGTTATTGCGGTATAATAGAATGGGGCGAATATCGATATAAACTAACCGAATCGGCCGGCTCATGGAGGTGTGTAACGATATCAAACACTTAAAAAATGGTTACGAACTTACTGATCCGTCGTGTATAGGCCTATACCAAAAAACCGTGCTCTAAAGTATAAACAAATAAAAAAGTTTCAATTTACTCGATTAAAGAAAATGTGGCTCTCAGATAGTTTCAATTGTAGTAGTATGTCACATCCATTTGATCAACTCGTTCCATTAGATATGTTTCACCCGACTCCCCATTCAACATAATCAATTTTTTAGAAAAAAAATGTACCCAGCTTTATACCAATACTCTATCTCCATTTGGGTAACAATACCAAGATTAATTATGTTTTGATCAAATAACCACAAATCAAAAAAGAGAGGAAAATCCACACAAATCCATCAATTAATTCTTGGTAAAAAAAAAAAAAAAAAAAAAAAAAAGAGAGGGAAAAAAAATCAGATATCTCCAAGAAAGATAGAGTAGGTATATTATATTACAATAAATAAGATTATTATTGTCTTTTCGTATAAAGAAAAGTTAAAATTGTCGTTTTATAAAATTTGGTTAACAAATTTTTAGAAAATGAAATGATAAGTGTGTCCTTGAGTACACACGCCAAACCTTAGAGGAGGTTAAAGTAATAAACGTTGAATAGTTTACACCTTAAATTAAAACTAAAAGTCGGTCAAGAGTAGGAAAAGGGGAGGAGAATGGGAAAGATGATAGAATTTTCCTTGAGAAAAAGAAGATGAAAAGGAGATGAGGGATAGGTGGAGAGAGTTAGGAAATTTTAAAAAAGATCCCTTTCATTGGGCAAAACTTAAAAGTCATTCAACATTGATTTGTATGAATATGATCATGGAAGATTTTTCCATTTTATTGTGCGGATCAAAAGTCTTCTAAAAGTCGAAGCCATTTCTTTCGGACAGAATAGGAGGATTTAATTAATAGTTGGCCTACTAGGTGGAGGAAGGATAAGCGAAAGGACTGAAAATAATTCATCAATTGACACCAAGCAACTACACAACAGACGAGTCAATTATATTTAAAGTGTCCGAAAGAAATGACTCGTCTGTTGTATGGTTGCTTTAAATTTACAAGTAAAAGGATAGTGCTTTAAGATTTATAGAAGTTACAAGTCAAACGAGTCAATTAATTCCGCTGTTGCCATTTTAGAGCAATACCTTCTCTGAAAAAGGGAGTTGGAAAGTTTAAGAAGAGACCATTTCATTTTTCTATTTTCATGTGTACCACTTATTTCTTTTTTCTTCTTTCCCCTCGTGTCATATTTAGTCCTTTTCATGCGAGTTGGGCATTTGCGTATGAAGATGGCTGCATTTGAAGTAATCTTCTAAAAAATTAAAATCATGGAAGCAAACAAATCAGGAAGACTTGAGAGAGTCAGTCAACATTGATTAGCATGAATATGAATATAAAAGTTTTTTATATTCTGTTGTGCGGACAATCCATCAGTGGCTATAATTTAAAGTCATCTCAAAGATGAAGCCATTTTTTTCCAACAAACTTCATTAATAGTGGGCGGAGGAAGGAGAAGGGAAAGGACCAAAAATGATTCATCAATTGACACCAAGCAACCACACAAAAGTTAAACCTTTGTGAGGAAAAATCAAATCACAGGAACCAAGTTCAGAGCACAAAAATAGACTAAATTAAAGAGAAAGTTGCATCAACTTTGACTCCGTCACTAAGAGTCCTTTACATGCTTGTCAAGGAAAACAAGGGGAAAAAGGAAAGATGATAGAATTTTAACCATGTCCAACATAATGCTTACCTGCAATCTTTAATTCATGTTTTCCTAAATAATTATAAATCTCTGGATAGTTAATGACCCACATATGCGCATACACACACACAAGTGCATGCTTGCGCACTTGGAAATGCCCCCAAGTGCTCAAAAATTTGATACTAGAATCAACACCAACCTTTATTACTGACACCCAAGTGTTTACAAATTCACATGCCGGCAAGTTCTCCTGCGAGACCTAGTTCGTCCCTTCCAAATCCCCACCTTTGTCGCCAGCTACAGGGTCCAACCCAAACCCAGCAGTGATACTATCATAAATTGAAATTTACCTCACTTAGATTTCTCATCCATCTATTCCTTGTTAATTTCAACAGGGCTAATTAAAGTAAAATGGCTAAAAATATTGACGGAGGACTTTTTTTTTGTTGAAGGAGATGCATGAGGGTAAATTTGACATTCCAATTAATAGTAAAAGAAAGTAGAGCATCAGAGTTGAATTTTGGAACCCAATATCATCACCTAAAAAAATTAATTAAGTTTAATTCAAAAAAATAAAAATTATTGTTAAAAGTTTAATTTAACTAAGGGTAAAGTGCATTAAACCCCCCTGAACTATTAGGGTATGTGCAAGAAACCCCCCTGAACTATAAAAATTGCAAAAAAAAACCCCTGAACTATTGGGGTATGTGCAAGAAACCCCCTTGAACTATAAAAGTTGCAAAAAAAAAAAACCCCTGAACTATTGGGGTATGTGCAAAAAACCCCCCTGAACTATATATTTTTTTGCAGTTTACCCCATCCATGCGAATTGATTGACTGAAAGGGACGATGAAGCCGAGGAATTTGTTGCTGGGATCGGTGGGTCTCCTGTCATAGCTCCATCATAACTGTTGCACCACTCGCCAGATCCGTCGGCCATATATATCGCACTTCCCTGCACCGTTGCGTCAGCCCATCGCCGTCACTGCCTTGCCCGCCATTCAGCTCACCTTGCTCGCCGGTCCACTCCACCATCCATTCCAATCTCGCCTGCCCATTCCGCCATCTCCATAGCCGAGCACATCGCCGTCCGTGTTTCAAGCACACAGCCGTCCACAGTTCACCGCCGAGCCCCCTTGAGCTCGCCGCCGCCTCCACAGTTCACGGCCGAGTCAACCGAGCTCTCATCACAGCCGAGTCCTCCACGCACAAGCTACCATCATCCGAGACCGATCCATCCCACCGACCTCGGATTTCTTTGGTCTCTTCTCTCTTTCTCTAGCTCTCAGTTTTGGGTTGTGTTGGGTGAAAGGCATCTTTTAGCAGAAAAAAAAATAAAATAAAATAAAATAAAATAAAAATAAAAAAATAAGAAGTGTATAAGTTAAAACGACGCAGTGTACGTGTTATAAGGGTAAACTGGTCTTTCAAAATTTTCGGTACCGGAAGCTGATGTCATGGGGGTAAATTGCAACAAAATCATAGTTCAGGGGGGTAAATTGCAACAAAATCATAGTTCAAGGGGGTTTTTTGTAGTTCAGGGGGGTTTCTTGCAAATGACCAATAGTTCAAGGGGGTAAATTGCAACAAAATCATAGTTCAGGAAGGTTTTTTGTAGTTCAGGGGGGTTTCCTGCAAATAACCAATAGTTCAGGGGGGTTTAATGTACTTTATCCTTTAACTAACTACCATAAAGATTAGAGTGGTGCTACTTAGAAAACGCTCTCATCAAAATACTTGGGAGCTCTCTGTTTTTTAGCCACCCGATCAATGTGAGAAAACACAGACCCAGTTGGTTTACAGACGTAAAAAGTTTCTCTCTAAAACCCTTCGTTTCTATTTCTTCGCAACCCCACCACTCTCTAGTCGCTCCCTTAACCTCAAAATCACCTTCGCTGCCTCAATCACTCAAGACACAACCTTCTCTCTACAGCCTCAAGCTCTCCACTCTCTAAACAACCCTCAAAAGATCTAAGATTTTCACCATCTCATCTTCCTCTACAATTGATTCTAAGTTATATACCAAATCACTCAACTCGCACAAACGTAACCATATTCACCGTAAGTCCTAACAGCAAAGAAAAGATAAAATATTGTCTTATTATTTTTTCATACAATTAAAAGATAAAATTATCATTTTATAAAACTTAGTCAACGTGGAAACAAAATGACAAGGCTGTCATTGAGCATACACCGTCAAAATTAAGAAGATGTTAAAATAATAAATGTTGAACAATTTATTATCCAAATATCAGGAACCAGTATAATTCACCCTTAAATTAAAACTACAATTCGGTTAAGAGTCCGAAAGGGAGAGAATTGGAAAGAAGATAGAATTTTCGTCTTGACAAATAGGACGAAAAAAAGGAGATGAGGGATGGAGATAGGGGGAGGGAGTTGGAAATTTTAAGAAAAGAGCATTTCATTTTTCTGTTTTCATGTGTACCACTTATTTCTTTTTTCTTCTTTCCCCCCGTGTCATATTTAGTCCTTATCATGCAAGTTGGGCATTTGCGTATAAAGATGGCTGCATTTGAAGTAGTCTTCTGAAAAATCAAAATCATGTAAGCAAACAAATCAGGAAGACTTTGAGAAAGTCAGTCAACATTGATTAGCATGAATATAAACATAGAAGTTTTTTCTATTCTATTGTACGACGATATCCATCTATCAATGGCTGTAATTTAAAGTCGTCTCAAAGACAAAGCCATTTCTTTCCAACAGACTTCATTAATAGCGGGCGGAGGAAGGAGAAGGGAAAGAACCGAAAAGGATTCATCAATTGGCACCAAGCAACTACACAATAGTTAAACCAATTATAACAAAGAACACATAATAGACTAAATTAAAGAGAAAGTTCAGAGCACAGAATAGACCTCGGTGAGGAAAAATCTTTTTTCTTTTTCTTCTTTCCCCTCATGTCATATTTAGTCCTTATCATGCGAGTTGGGCATTTGCATATGAAGATGGCTGCATTTGAAGTAGTCTTCTGAAAAATCAAAATCATGCAAGCAAACAAATCAGAAAGACTTAAGAGAGTCAGTCAACATTGATTAGCATGAATATAAACATAGAAGTTTTTCCTATTCTATTGTGCGAACAATATCCATCTATCAGTGGCTGTAATTTAAAGTCGTCTCAAAGAAAAAGCCATTTCTTTCCAACAAACTTCATTAATAGCGGGCGGAGGAAGGAGAAGGGAAAGAACCGAAAAGGATTCATCAATTGACACCAAGCAACTACACAACAGTTAAGCCAATTATAACAAAAAACACATAATAGACTAAATTAAAGAGAAAGTTTAGAGCATAAGATAGACCTCTGTGAGGAAAAATCTTTTTTCTTTTTCTTCTTTCCCCTCATGTAATATTTAGTCCTTATCATGCGAGTTGGGCATTTGCGTATGAAGATGGCTGCATTTGAATTAGTCTTCTGAAAAATCAAAATCATGCAAGCAAACAAATCAGGTAGACTTGAGAGAGTCAGTCCACATTGATTAGCATGAATACGAACATAGAAGATTTTTCTATTCTATTATGCGGACAATATCCATCTATCAGTGGCTGTAATTTAAAGTTGTCTCTAAGACAAAGCCATTTCTTTCCAACAGACTTCATTAATAGTGAGCAGAGGAAGGAAAAGGGAAAGAACCGAAAAGGATTCATCAATTGACACCAAGCAACTGCACAACAGTTAATAGCTTACCCTTTTAACCAAAAAAAAAAAAAAAAAACTACACGACAGTTAAGCCAATTGTAACAAAGAACACATAATAGACTAAATTAAAGAGAAAGTTTAGAGCACAGAATAGACTTCTGTGAGGAAAAATCTTTTTTCTTTTTCTTCTTTCCCCTCGTGCCATATTTAGTCCTTATCATGCGAGTTGGGCATTTGCGTATGAAGATAGCTGCATTTGAAGTAGTCTTCTGAAAAATCAAAATCATGCAAACAAACAAATCAGGAAGACTTGAGAGAGTCAGTCAACATTGATTAGCATGAATATGAACATAAAAGTTTTTTCTATTCTATTGTGCGGACAATATCCATCTATCTGTGGCTGTAATTTAAAGTCATCTCAAAGACAAAGCCATTTCTTTCCAACAGACTTCATTAATAGCGGGCGGAGGAAGGAGAAGGGAAAGAACTGAAAAGGATTCATCAATTGACACCAAGCAACTACACAACAGTTAAGCCAATTATAACAAAGAACACATAATAGACTAAATTAAAGAGAAAGTTCAGAGCACAGAATAGACCTCTGTGAGGAAAAATCTTTTTTATTTTTCTTCTTTCCCCTCATGTCATATTTAGTCCTTATCATGCGAGTTGGGCATTTGCGTATGAAGATGGCTGCATTTGAAGTAGTCTTCTAAAAAATCAAAATCATGCAAGCAAACAAATTAGGAAGACTTAAGAGAGTCAGTCAACATTGATTAGCATGAATATGAACATAGAAGTTTTTTCTATTCTATTGTGCGGACAATATCCCTCTATCAGTGACTGTAATTTAAAGTCATCTCAAAGACAAAGCCATTTTTTTCCAACAGACTTCATTAATAGCGGGCAAAGGAAGGAGAAGGGAAAGAACCGAAAAGGATTCATCAATTGACACCAAGCAACTACACAAGTTAAGCCAATTATAACAAAGAATACATAATAGGCTAAATTAAAGAGAAAGTTCAGAGCACAGAATAGACCTCTGTGAGGAAAAATCTTTTTTCTTTTTCTTCTTTCCCCTCGTGTCATATTTAGTCCTTATCATGCGAGTTGGGCATTTGCATATGAAGATGGCTGCATTTGAAGTAGTCTTCTGAAAAATCAAAATTATGCAAGCAAACAAATCAGGAAGACTTGAGAAAGTCAGTCAACATTGATTAGCATGAATATGAACATAGAAGTTTTTTCTATTCTATTGTGCGGACATTATCCATCTATCAGTGGCTGTAATTTAAAGTCATCTCAAAGACAAAGCCATTTCTTTCCAACAGACTTCATTAATAGCGGGCGGAGGAAGGCGAAGGGAAAGAACCGAAAGGGATTCATCAATTGACACCAAGCAACTACATAACAGTTAAGCCAATTATAAGAAAGAAAACATAATAGACTAAATTATAGAGAAAGTTCAGAGCACAGAATAGACCTCTGTGAGGAAATATCAAATCACAAGGCCCAAGTTCAGAGCACAGAAATAGACTAAATTAAAGAGAAAGTTGCATCAACCTTGACTCGGTCAATAAGAGTCCTTTTCATGGTTGTCGTGGAAAACAAGTGGAGAAAGGAAAGATGATAGAATTTTAACCATGTCCAACGTAGTGCTTGCCTGCAATCTTTAATTCATCTTTTCCTAAATAATTAAAAATCCCTGGATAGTTAATGACCCACATATGAATATACACATACACACACGTGTGCACGCTCGCGCACTTGGAAATGCCCCCAAGTGCTCAAAAATTGAAGGACGAGAATTGCCATTGACCAGCGGTTCATTTTTGCCCTCGAACCAAAGTATAAAAGAAGCAAATTACGATCAATAAAACTTTCAACTAGGAAAATTAACTATTTTAAGTAATATTGTTTTTCTTCTGTCACATATTCTTGAAGTCTAACCATTTACCCAGAAACTAAGAAAAAAAAAAAATTGAAAATAAAATTACAAGGCCTGAAAAGGTGGCAACCGTTGGGAGAATTTTGGTAAACTGGACAGGTAACATTCATTTGGAGCCATTCATTAATGCAATGGGCATGGAAGAAATGTTGACAATTAGGAAAGCTCCTCATTGTCTGCTTGGGCCGGTCACATGGTGTCATACATTGGGCTTGGCAAGCCGTTGGCTCTCACCTATAACTGTTTTTGGGTAGGATTCTATAGTAGATCCATCCAAGCCGGAAATGAAGATGAGCAGTGAAGCAGCTTTGGAGTACGTGGTTCCTTCCTAGCTAGGTCACACGGTGCGGGAGCGGAAACGTGAAAATGACAAAATCTAAGTAATACATAGTTGGGATTGGGAATAAGAGCGTGTGTTAAGCACAAGAACAAGTGCGCGTACAGAGAGTGAAATCACCACCCGTTTAGAAGAATTATGTAACATAGGTTCCTCTTACGGTAGGACTTGACCTGCCAATTGAAACAAGAAAAGCCCAATAACTCGCAATAATGTTGGTACTCCTGCTCCAACAGTGGCAATATCAAGCACTCCTTCACCTTGGAATTCCTAAAAACAAGATTCGAGTTTAATGTAAATGAAGTATGGAGCATAACTGTGAAAGCCATGGTCAGGGCACTCTTAGAAGGAGGGAGGGGGGAATCATCAATTTAAATGAACTTGCATATTTTATCTTTGTATTTGTATATCATTATGCGTAGGTATGCTCAATTATTGTATATATATATATATCAATAAATGTATGTATATTATTGTATTTGTATATCATTATGCGTAGGTATGCTCAATGTATACAAGAGGATTAGAAAACCAAAAAGGAAAAATAAGATTAGGACTTTAAAGAATAAAAAAGTAATTAATTTTTAATTAAAAAAATTGAGAAATAGGTGAAAGAGAATTAGGAAAGAATAGAGATAATGAACTTGCATATTTTATCTTTGTTATCTTTTTTCACTATTGAACTCAATTGCAAGAATCCATAAGAGCCCGTTGCTTACTGGTGTTTGTCCTTAGTGGCATTCCAAATTTATATTTTGTTATGTAGTTTTGGATTATATTACATATAGTATACATTGCAGTATATTATATTGAACTAATATTATACTAAGTTAATATTTTATTACTATTAGGTAGAACTTAAAACAAACTAACTAACTAAATGTTTGATATAATTGTATTGTGTTAATATTATATCATAAGAGGGATGATTTTAATTCCTATTGAGTTGGGCTTTAATTGAATTTAAGTGTGAGTTTGATGCATGAACATGTGTGAATCTGTTATTGGACTTGGGCTTTAAATTTTATATATATTAGTATTGGGTTTAAAGTTGCTTAAAGGGCCCAATTAGGAATTTTATTTGTATTGTTGGGCCATATAGTAATAGGTATTCTCAAAAAAATTTGGCAAGAACTTGATGTGGCATTGTTGCGCCTTCAATTATCGATACGGGCAATTGATTCACGTTAGAGTTCAACTACTGGACATTTGTGATGGTGTTTGTCCACCTCTGGGCCTTTTTTATGTAGACCAGTTGTAGTCCAGCAGAAAATTCACTTTGTCCAAGTTCTATATTGTATTTTTTTTTTCCTGCTAAATAAAATAAATGTGAGCTATATGGATCAAGACTAACTTGGAACATTCACCTGATTTTTAGGTTTTTGTATGAAATTAGGCATATTGGTAATTATAGTGATAGGATGATACTACTTTCTTACTTTCCAAATTAAATTCAAGTCCGGATAGGAACAAGTGCATACTTATAGTTTAACTAGTGGACATTTGTGATGGTGGTGTGTGTTCTCTATCCTGCGCCTTTTTTTTATGTAGACCAGTTGCAGAGTCCAGTAGAAAATTCACTTTGTCCAAGTTCAATATACTACGTAGTAATTTTTATTTTTTTCTGTAAATAAAATTTCACTTATAGGAGAATGTGTGTTTTATATTGTATTTGTGTAATGGATCAACACTAACACGGAACATTCATCACGTGATTCATAGAGTTGGCTGTACTTCGATACTGATTGTAATGACCGGTTTTATTTTTCATTTTTTTTTGGTAATCACGGTGGCGGTGGTAGGCTCTACAAATATTATTTTTTTAGACAAAAATATTATTTTAAATTATTTGGACTTTCTTCTTCTCTCCTATTTTAATCGATCTATATGAGGATGTATGCGTATGTGTGTATATATATAGGACTTGGATCCTCTAAATTAAATATTCTCTAAGTTATCATAAGTTGAATTCCCTACAGATTGACACACAACATTTAAAATCTATCTACTTCTAATTTAAAGAAAGTTTGAAAAGTACACCATTTTGAAATAAGAAAAATTTACTAAAGTTTAAAAATTACACCCTTTTGAATTAAAGAAAATTCACCATACTCTAACGACGTGTAGAGCATCTCCATCGGTCTGTTAAAGTTGTTAAATTTTTTTAACTCTAACTGTTGTTTTATACATTTTGTGTAAAAAATTATCCCCCAATAACAACCAATCACGTCATACCCAAGGCCCTACATAACTTTTACAAACCTACTTTATTCAGTTTACTATTTGGCGATTAAACCTCACGTCACAATCCTCCTCAATTAGTAAAAAAATAATAATTTCACTCTATCTTTCACTTTCTCATCCCGCCAATAACAAACCTTCACGTTATCGCCATCGAAATTCTAACTTATAACAAATAATAAAATAAGATTCAAGTATGTAAAAACTACATTATTAAAATATATATCTAATCTTTAGCTAGTACATTATTTATCTCATTAGAATAGAATGTAAAAGGATAAAAAATCTAAAAAACCCCTAGAATTTACAGTATGATTGCAGAAGATAAGATCAAAAGGAAAGTGATTAATCAAACTATGTTTATTAAATAAATAAATAAAAGATGGCACTCTAGAAAAGTGGGAAACAAAGAGGCTTAAAGGAATGAAAGAGAAGAAAGAGAACCGCGAGTAGGAAAGGGGGAGAAGAGAGAAAATATGCGTACATGGCACTGTAAAAGTGCTGTGTAAAAAACACCATCCTTTTACACATTGGTGATATGACAGTGTATCTCAGTAGATTGCTAGAAATGAAAAAAAATTACAAATCATATGTGGCAGTTCATATTTTACACAAAAAAAAAAATTTAACAAATCGCTGGAGATGCTCGTTATCTCTGTTTCTCTTTTAACCCAACTGACGTTGTCTCTCATCTTTCCTATATAGGCTTTTGGTTGTATTTTCCTAACTCCATCAATATCCATACTTATATATATATATATATATATATATTCTTTTCTAACCGTTACTATTGCCGGTAAAAGTTGCATGTCTTGCAATCACATTTTTGTCCATCTTAATTCCATGGCAAAGAACATTTATTTTATGCTTGGAATATTTCCCCAATCGTGAAAATGAGCAAGAGGAGAGAGAAGGAGGATTTTTTTTGAAAAAGATGAGGGAGAGATAACACGTTAAACGTCTTTAGAATATGGTGAATTTTCCTTAATTCAAAAGGGTGCCGTTTTTAAACTTTGATAAATTTTTCTTACCTCAAAACGGTATATTTTTAAACTTTTTTTTAGTAGATAGATTTTAAATGTCACATATCAATCTATAGCAAATTGAACTTAGAATAACTTAAAGAATATTTAATTTGAAGAATTCAAGTCCAAAATTAAAAGGTCGAGTCAATCTAAATTTGGGAAGCAAAGAGAGCTTTCTATTAATGAGATTAGAGTAATTAGCTACATAAAACTCCTCGAAAAGTCAAATTCAATCAACGGAGTAAAAAGATTAAATCCAAAAATATTCTGAGTACCATACAATATACAAGCTTTTGCAAGTTGCTCCTTGCATATCAATTTGGTCCCCTCAATTATTAAAAATGTTACGGTTTGCCCCCTCAAGAGGGAGGTATCCGGTATCTTATAATATTTTTAATAGTTAGGGTGCAAATTGTAATGCAGGAGGATAACTTGCAAAAACTTGTATGATACAAAGAAATTTCTTACAAATAATAAAAAATAAAAAAAATAAAAAGAAAAAAGATAAGAGTTTATGGAACCATGTACTTTTCGGTCCTAACCACGTCTTTACGTACTTTGCCTTTTGTCATACACAATTAGTTAAATTTGAACTTCAAAAAAATATATTTCAAAAATATTAACTAATTAATAAATATAGTTCGTTTCACTTTTTATTCCAGGTATCCCAATATCCCTGGTCAAAATTGTAGGAGCAATTCTTGTATGGAATGGTAGAAACTAATTTCAAAAGGCATTTTTGTATTTGATTAATATTATATTTTGCAAACTAAAGTAGGCTGATGATATTGTCACTCCACCAATGTCTTTAGGCGCTAAGCCCTCCTTCTCCCTTAAAATAATATTATAAAAGGGTCCCGTGTTTGGTTCCTATATTTTTTT